GTCCAGTAGCCCAAATCTTATAACACTAATGGAAGAACATACTCCAAATTTCCTGTGAGTCCCAATTACACAGAGTATGGGCTACTGTATGGGTTACCTTGTTGCATTCACTCTTGGCAATTTCCAGCTTATTTGGCCCAACAACATGGTTTGGGCCTGAATCTCTTTGCACAGTTTGCCTTCCTCCATCAACGACGACGTATCTCTGTTGAGCTTTGAGACTTCCTCTAGGCAATCCGGCTCGATCTCCACCACAAATCCCTTCATTTCTACCACTTCCAAGGCGAAAGAGATGGCCTTGAGCTATGCAATCTTGGGGCTCCAATAGTGGCGACCTCGGCGTACCGCCGTTAGCAGGCAGACTCCATTTCATTCCCACACCACAATCCCTGCTCCCGTTCATTCTCCGACAAAAATTGTGGAATCGACATTGATTTTCATCCATCCCGCCGATGGTTTCTTTCAGTGAAAAGGTACAATTTTGGTCCTTCCTTCCTCCTTCTGTCTGACTTGCTAGGAATTCTTCATGGTAGGACAAAGCCCGACCCACAATCTCCCATTCCTATGCCTTCTTTTTATTGAATAGATGATTGTTTCGCTCATTCCAAAATTTTGTAGGATCATTGTGAATTTAGCTAGCATCTCCTCCTCTATGTCCTCAGATAGTTCACAGAACCAAGATGTGCATGATAGATCCTTCCCTCGCTCGAAAAATTGCTTAAACTATTTAGGAGACCAAATCCTTCTTGCCCATGCACATTCCAAAACAATATGCTTTTGGGTTTCCACTAGGTTGTATGGACACTCCACCGCCGCATCTCTTTTCCTCGACTCAATATTCTTCCCCGTCAGTAGGATATTTTGTAGAAATCGCCATAGGAACATTCACACCTTTGGTGGCACTAGTAACTTCCAGATCTTTTCCAATCCACCGGGTCATATTCCTCTTGATCTGTGTCCATTTCCTCCTCTTTTAACTTTTGCCTCCATGTCTAGTAACCAGATTTTAGTGATGACAATGGGGCAGGACAGGTACCTCAATACCAATGTCCCGTCCCACGTTAATACTGATAATCGGCTTTAACATATTGAATTCTTGGACTTTATGTGATTATCCGTGGTATGTTTTAGCCAATTGGTGCTATTTTAGGGCTCGCTAACCCGAGAATGGTTGAAAAACCATTACTGCCTAGTGCCATGAATTTGATGTTACAGGTGGAGAAAGCACGATAAAAGAGCGAGTGCACAAGCAATAAATCGGGCTCGAATTACTGGTGGACTACTCACTTGGGCTCAAGGTCCAGAGGACTTGGCTGGAGGATGCGATGTTGGGCCGGACAGAATTGGAATGGGCGGCATGCTTTTGGATTTGGGCTCTGGGACGGAAATTGAAAGGGCTGGGCCATTGTTTTGGAAAGAATGGGACACAAAATACTCTCTGGGGGAAAGGAATTAAAAAAAGAAAAAGAGGAAGCAGCGGGGGGAATTAATTAGTGGGCTAGCAATTAATTGTGGGACGAAATTCTCTTCTGGAGAAAATTAGCAGGGCGCAGCGCAAGTTGGGACGAGCGGAGAGCAGCTACGCTTGGCGGCGATCGCGAGCAGGGAAGAAAATTTCAGTATTTTTTTCCTTTTGTTTCGATTCGTGACATGATGATCAAAACTCTATTGTTTTATCTTAATTTCGTCATGAACTAAACCCCGATTTCTGGAGGAAACACCATAGGATGTAGTTATTTCTTGATTTGATGGATTGATTCATATGTCTTTTCTTCCAATCTCTATTGCATGAAATTGTCTAATGCTTTGTATTGACTGGCCACCAATACAATGAATCGTAGTTAATTAGGGTATTAGTGACAATGAAACCCTAATAACGAACCTATTTCATGTGACATAGTAACTTATCGAAGCGACAGTGGATTAAATAAGGTGCTATGCGGTCTTGAATAGGATATCGATCTTCAGACTATATAGTTAATTCATTGCGCTACGACGGTAGGATTTGAATTGATTATTTAGTACGTAGTAATTCCCGACAGGGATAGCTAGCACAGTAGTGATATCCTGGCTGTAGAGGTATGGATTAAATTGATTGGAATATGTGAATTAATCTGGATAGGATAGGTAGTTAATTCCGGTGTTTCTCCCAGAGCTTTCTCCCATTGATTTAAACCCGACAAGTTTACTTTGCTTAATTAGTTTAATTATTTTGCTAGTAGTTAATAATCTCATTCAACCATTTTCACCTATAGTTTGCTTCATAAAATTGATAGAACTTAAGGCTGTACCAGTCCCTGAGAGACGATACCCGGACTTTCCGGATTACTACAAGTTATGAATTGAAGCTATACGCTTTTGACCTATCAAATACCGATCGGGGCGGGTAATATCCACACGGGTTTAGGAGCAGGGCGGGTAGGAGAAAGTTAGAAGTAGATACCCATGCCCCATCCCACGCTACTGTGGGTCGGGTAATTCCACCTTGTCACGGGTTAGGTGGGGTAATACCCGGCGGGGTGGGTTCAAATTGTCGATTTAGCTGTGTAGTGCCCTCTTTTTTCAAAGCTCCACACTTGCTTATCCGGTACTAGTGTTCTAGGAAGGGTAATTTCCAGGATTCTAGCCCGGTCTGTTGGATTGAAGTGTTGTTGGAGCACATTCATCCTCCGCTACTGGTTTGTGTGGTCGATCAATGAGGAAACACTAGCTAGAATGCCTAGAATTGACATTAGTGAGACTACCAAATAGTTATCTTCTTTCGCCTCCGATACCCACCTGTCTAGTATCTTCCCATAGCTCCACACTAGTTCCATTGCCTATTCTCCAACAAACTCCATTTCTCACTAGCTCTTGAGCTATAATTGGGCTTCTCCACACATAACTTAGGTTTTTGGCCAACTCTAGCATGTAAGATGTCAATATTAGGATAGTACTTAGCCTTTAACACTCGAGCTACTAGGGAATCTGAATTTTGTATAAGATTCCAGACCTGTTTCCCTAATAGGGCAAGATTAAAGACTTTGAGGTCCCTAAAACTCAACCCTCTTTCATTCTTTTGTTCACACAGCTTCCGCCAAGCTCCCCATGGTATATTCTTCTCCTCATTTCTCTGTCCCCACCAAAAGTTCAAAATTGCGCTCTTCAGGGACAAGAAATACTAACATTGTGTAGGTTGCTTGAGCCTGAGCTACCACTTCGATCAGTATCTCCTTTGTTGCATTGGATAAGCTTTGAATTTTCCAAAACTTGATCTTTTTCCTAACCTTGTCCACTAGTACCCCAAAAACTGGCTTCTTCTCTCATCCAATGATGGTAGGCAACTCTAGATACTTAGTGTGTTCGCTAAGGCGTATTCTCAAAATACCGATATCGGCGGTTCTTCAACTTGATTCATACCAAGTATCCCTGCAAGCCTCGCTCATCGGTTAGCCCCCACATTTGGCCTAAAAGTTAGGTCTGACTTTTAGAGATTTACCTTCTACCTCGATTCCTTTTCATAGAGCTTTAGAATATCCCTTAAATGCTCACATTTTGTTGAACTAGCTCCGGTAAAGAAAATGTTATCGTCTACAAACAGTAGATGTGAGATGACTGGTCCTCTTCGCGACACCTAAAATCCATGAAGCTTCCGCTCCCCTATCACTTTCCTGGTTAAAGCTGACAACCCGTCCACACATAGTAGGAACAAGTATGGGAAATCGGGTCTCCCTGTCTGAGTCCTCTCTTTGGTTCAAAAACTTTTGATTGATATCCATTCACTAACACCGAGAATGAAACAGTAGTGATGCATGACATAATCAAGTTCACCCACCTTCCATCAAAATCCAACCTTAGCATCATTGCTTCTAGGAATCCCCAGTTCACACGATCATAGGCCTTCGAAATATCCAGTTTTGTTGTCATGAAGCCTCTCTTGATATCTTTTTGTGTTTTCATGGCATTTAAACGCTACCATCACATTATCAGTTATGTACCTACCAGGTACAAATGCAGTTTGGTTCTCCTCTATCACCTTGTTCAGGATCTTTTCAATCTGCTAGCCAAAGCCTTTGACATGATCTTGTATAGTGCCTTATACAAGCTGATAGGATGACAATCCATTGGTGTTTATGGCTTCTCGGTCTTGGGGATCAAAGCTAACCGTATGTGATTCAGTTATTTAGGAAATGATCCATTCTCTAAGCTGAATGGCTAAACATCGCCCTATATTTTCTGTTATCGCCCTATTTTAAAGTAGAAAATTACAAAATTGTCCTTCATTAAACAAATAAATTAAAGAAAAAACCCTCATTCATTTTCGTGGATAAAAATTTAAAAACTCCAAATCGTTGCCGCCTCACCCATCATTAATCCGGCCACCATTGTAGCTCCACTGTCGTTGCCTCCTCTCTTCTCCCCCACTGTGTTTCTTTTGTGTGAAAATCAAATCCCTTCCATTGGAATAAACTCCTCCCTGCAGTGTGTTGTCTGAATCATCTTGCCCCAAAAATCAACTCCCAGTCTCATCTTTCCTTTCTCCCCACCTTCGAAATCAACTCTGATCCCGGTCTATCCCTTCTCTCCATCCTCAGAATCAACTCACCTCGTATGTCCCGGGTGCAACTGTCCCTTCTCCCTATTGTGATTATCATAATAATGACATTGTTGGAGGCGATTGACGATGGGAATCGGCAACGGTCAGCCGCCGGTAGTGGGAATTAGTGGCCAACGGTAATGGCGACAACCATGACGAGGTGGGTCTAATTATTTTATGGATTGTGTTTTTCGAAATAAATATCTTCTTAAAAATAAAAATGAGAAAAGGATAAAAATATAATTTTCAACATTTAAATTAGGGCGATTAGAAATAATTAGGACGACATTTAGCAACCCTCTTCTCTAAATACTTAGTTCCCTTGTCACATCAGGCCCTACTAATACTATCTCCCAAATCCCAATTCTTCCTGCACAGCAAATAAAAGTATGGGCTGGGCTTGGAGTCCTTTAAGAAAACTAACCGGAGGCCACATCCAAATATTTCTCTTACGTAATATAAAATTGCACCCGAACCTCAAACCCTAGGCTCTCTCCTCCGTCCTTCCCCTACCCTAGTACCCACACAACACACCAGGGGAGCTGCAGCGCGGCTGTTGAAGCAGGTATGAAACGACAAACCCTCCTTCCTTCCACATATGCGCGTCTCTCTAGCTATTTTCGAGCTCTTTTATGAACTCTGCATTCTTGAATTCCGCCATGCGGTATTGTTAGACGACATTTTCCTTTCCATTGAGCCTCTGATGGAGTACTGGCTATTAGAATAGTGCTCTGATGTGTTTCCTGGCTCGCTTCTTCCCTTTGTCTGTCTCGCCCGTCGTAGTTCAGAACCATTCGGTGTTTTTTTCCTCTAATTACCTGAGAGAATCTGATGTGTTGTTAATTTGCGCATTATAGACAAGATGGCGGTTCCTCTGTTGACGAAGAAGATTGTGAAGAAGAGGGTCAAGAAGTTCAAGAGGCCCCAGAGTGACCGTAAGATCTCGGTCAAGGTAATTCTTAATTGAACTTTGTTGTTCCTTCGGTCGTTGGGTACTAGCTAGGTTCAGCATTGTTCTTGTCATGCTTGATTTGTTGGTTGTGTTATTAATTCAGAAGTTGTCATACACTGTGCACAATAAGCCGATGCTCTGGATCAATTTATGATGAAGGTAGCATGGTAGGGTGCACGGAAATTAAATTTTCATGGGTGAACATGTCTGCTCTCTTTGATTTTTCCTGATTCGAGGGCCTGGTTTAACCCACATTCCCATACCTTTCTTCCTCAATCCTTTTGATTCTCCAGATTGACATCAATCGTTATTAACATCCTTGTTAACTTGTGTGTCAAGAATAGCCTCTCCTTCCTCAATTATGCCTCATTTAAAGCTGTAGGACATAATTTCATATAATTGGCTGTACTGAGCCAAGAAATTGAAGGGTTCCTGTCACGTGTTGCCCGTTTTACTCAGATGTTAATGCTACAAATAAGAGCCAGAACATGCCAATGTGCGGATTTGTAGTGTTCTGTTCTTGCTACTGATTTGCCCATCTAAAATTTGTGTTTTCCCTGTAGTGTTCTGTTCTGGCTATTGATTTGCCTATCTCGAATTTGTGTTTTTCCTTTGCAGGAAAACTGGAGAAGGCCAAAGGGTATTGACTCTAGGGTCAGGAGAAAGTTCAAGGGAGTTACATTGATGCCCAACATCGGTTATGGATCAGATAAGAAAACCCGCCACTATCTTCCCAATGGCTTCAAGAAGTTTGTTGTCCACAATGTTAAGGAGCTGGAGGTTTTGATGATGCATAACAGGTAAGCTACTTCCATTCCCATGTTCAGAAATATTATGTCTTGTTTTGCTCTGCATTTGCTCCTGACCTGAACATCGGTTTTGCTGTTTAGGACTTATTGTGCCGAGATTGCTCATGATGTCTCTACGCTTAAGAGAAAGGGTATTGTGGAGCGTGCAGCACAGTTGGATATTGCTGTCACCAACAAGCTGGCTAGGCTCAGGAGCCAGGAAGACGAGTAGACGGTTGGTTCTGTTTTTTCGTGTGATTTTGCTCTCAGAAGAAATTTTGCCTTTAGAAAACCTTGGATTTTGAGTTTCTGTTGCGGATTAGTCTGATACCCGTTAGCGCTCCCGTTTTGAGATGTGTAATCGACTTTTGGTCCTTGTTTTGTTTCCATCATCGGTGTTGGTATTAGTATCTATTGGATTTTTCTTGCACCCTCTTGTCAACTCCCCTCGCCCTGGAACTGTTAAGGCCGATTAAGTACTCGAAAATTATAGTTGGAGGGACCGGAAGAATTTTGATAACTCGATTCCAATATCGTATGTCAGGGATATGATTGTAGGTTCCATGGGTGGGTGGATAAACGGAGAATTGTTAAATGTTAATGGATTTGGATGGTTTCATACAAATTTTTGTTAGATTTTTATGATGGATTGTATTGAATAGAATTTAGGTAACTACAAATTATTGGCCAACAATTGAGAGCTCGCTCTCTATGATCTATGGGGCCAGATAGCATAACAACACCCTAAGTGTTTTTCTTTTTTTTGATAAGGGTGATAATTTATTAAAGAAAAGCAAAGAGGGATAGATCCCAAAAAGAGTACAGAGAGGAAAGAGTACAGAGAGGAAGGGGAATGGGAGCACAAGCAGTGCAGCCCAAAGACCCCAACATCAAAACAGAAACGCAAAACAAAAGACAGCATAAAAGACAGAAAGAAAAAAAAAAACGAGACCCCAAGCCAAGGGGAGGATCTCAGCACCACCAAGACAGGGCCGGAAAACAGGTCGACAGCAGGAGACGAAAAGAACAGCAGCCCAGGAAGGGTCTCAGAGGCAGAACAGCAGCAGCGAAGCAGCAATAGCCCGACGTGCTTTAGCAGCGACACAGCACGGGACACAGGAAACCAACCAGCAGCCGCAACAGCAGAGACAAAAAGTTCGAAGAGAGAAGATGAGGGTGCGAGACTCAGATCCCACCCTAAGTGTTGTTACCATAACAACAAGAGTATAATCGTAAATGACAATAAACATAATAAAAAAATAAACTATTTCATCTTCTCTCCCATTTAGATCCCTTCGTCGCCGTCTCAGCACCTCTCTCCTCCAAAATGCCCGCGACGGAGGCGGAGACATCAATCTCTTTGGAGGAAGCGGGAGCGCCGCTGCTCATGAACGATTCTACGTATCTGGTGCGCAGGATTTCACTGCTCCCGTAATTTCTCGAGAAGATCTGGATCATTGGATTGCGATGCCGCCGCTTCAACTTCGTCGCGTTCTGCGGCCAGTTGGTGCTCCGCGCTGCTTGCTACGACCAGTCAATTTCAAGCAATCATCATCAAATCTTCCTTTCTTTGATTAGATTTTGTCTCCCCTCAGGTCCGACGAAGATTGTGCCGATGACGCGAATAGAGACGGGATCGAAGGAAACGAAAATCGGTGGAAATCAGGAGGGATATTTTCGGCTGTTGCTCAACAGGCGACATGATTGCTCTTCTTTGTCGAATCGAACTCGATCACGGTTTAGAGAGGCGGAAGTCAAGGGGACACTGGCAGTGGACATGATTCTGAATGAGCTACGGATGGAGATGGACGGGTTGCCGAGGAGGAATAATATTCGCAATTATTGGCGTAGGTCTCGATGAGCGAATAGAAAGAGGATTCGCCCGACTGGTAGGAACCCATCTTGGCAGGGGAGTTGAATATCTTGTCATGAATCGGAAGTTTGGCTTCGTTTCCATCTTGACGTTTTCCATTGCAGGCTTCATGGCGTCCGTCGTCCTTATGGGAATTTGATTGAGTGGCGACTGAGAAGTGCAGCTGCAAAGCAAGGGAAGGGGACTTACAGGGCAGCAATTGATGGAATGCAGAGCTCGACCGACTGAGGAGTAATTTGGCGATGGTGACGGTAGTGCGGCGAGAGCATTTAGTTAGCTGGCTACTCTACACTAACGGGTTGAATGTTCCAAATGTCTCTGGCGTACTCGTGGATTGTCCTGTCGCTGCTGAACTTGTAAGAGCTAGCTGTGTTCATGATCGACATTCTCGTCCATCTCTGTCAAACCATCAACCATGGACAAATTCAAGAGTGTTAAGCGAATGTGCTTTGGTTTTGGAAGGCTGCTCTTACTGTGTGTGTATATATATCTGTAGCTTAAACAAAATATCACCTGTTGGTCTTGATACGCTTTGCCAACCTCCTCCTGGCACTTGATGTAGCTGGGGAAATCCTTTCCAACGAGGAAATAGAAGAGTACTGGTAATAGCAAGTGGAGGATATATTGATAGCTTTCTGACAATATAATGGTTTAGACCTGATCACTTGAGACTAATTGTCCCTAAGATCAACAAAGTTTATCATATTTTTTTTTTATGATGTATCAGAAGCATCCTAATGTAGAACATAAGTCTCGTGAAGCAAAACAGAAACACCACAAAGTGAGCCATAAATATTTTTAAAGCACACCAAAAACTTTATTATACAAACCATAACTCTCCTAAAACAAACCAAAAACACCACAAAGCACACCAGAAACTTCATAAAACAAACCACAAACGCGGTAAAACTAACCACAAAAAAGCATACCAGAAACCTTCTAATGCATACCACAAATTCCCTAAAACATACCAGAAACCTCACATAACAAACCACAAATATTTTGAAAAGCACACCAGAAACCCCCTAATGCAAACCACAAACACTGTAAAGCAAACCAAAAACGTCATAATGCAGACCACAAATATATTAAAACAAACTAGAAACCTCGCAAAGCAAACCACAAAAGTTTCGAAAGCACACCAGAAATTTCTTAATGCAAACCAGAAACCTCCGAATGCATACCACAAATCTCCTAAAACAAACCACAAACCTCACAAAGCAAACCACAACATTTGCGAACCATACCAGAAACCTCATAATGCAAACCACAAACACAGTAAATCAAACCACAAAAAAGCAAACCATAAACGTCCCAATGCAGACCACAAATATATTAAAACAAACCAAAAACCCCTCAATACAAACCACAAAGTTTTAGAAAACAAACCAGAAACTTCTCAATGCAAACCACAAACACGATAAAGCAAACCAGAAACATCTTAATGCAAACAACAAACACGATAAAGCAAACCACAAAAGGCATACAAAAATATGAGAAACCAAACCATAACATCCGGTGGTCGTTGACCGTTGACCGGTCAACGAAGACCGTTGACCAAACTCCGATGACCGTCAATGAGTAGATTCCGGCCCCGATAGGCATATTCCGGCCCCGATGACTAGATTTCGACGCCGGAAAGCATATTTCGACTACGGTGAGCATATTCCGGCGACGGTGGCATATTCCAGCGACAAAAAAGCATATCCCGGTGACAAAAAAGCATATTTCGGTGACTGGCGACCAGATTCCGGCGACATATGGCCGAATTCCAACGACTAAAATTTTGGGCCGAAAATAATTTTTTTTAAATTTTTTAATTTTTTTTATTTAAACATATTTTCATAATGACAATTATACCCCTGCTTTGATTTTACACTAGGTCAACTCATCTAATAAAAAGTCATCACAACTCTAGCTTCCTATTGTTTGGAAACTAGTGTTGTTACAATAACAACACAAGGGGTGTTGTCATAGTAACCGGTCCCATGATCTATTCTATCCTATTATATCTTCCCCGAGATTGCTGCGCCATCCAATCTTCCTACAGATTCATCCTGTCGAGTATCAGTCACGTGTTTCTTTTATGGTATTCCCTCTCCTCCCTCGGGTCCACCTTCCGGCGGTGCCGGGAAAGCGCACTCCTCCGCATCACCCACACTCAACTCCTATTCAGAATCGACGAAGATAATGATTTCGTTTCTTATCTCTGGCTGAAGTAGTAGGTAGCGATAGTGATGTAGCGGTACAAGATCGATTGTGGGGGATTCGGGAATGACGAAGAGGATTCCGGGTTGGGATTGAACAATCTTGGGGGATTTCCTAGATGCCGGCGTCGCTCTTTAGGCATTTGTCTCCGCTGCTCTATGCCTCTATCACCTCGACAGTTTCCTCGCAGTACCGAGACTCTGGTAGGCAAGGAAGAGACCTCTCCGCCGACCCTACTTTTGGCGCAGGAACTCCCTCAAATTCAATATATTATATGCAAAAAGTTTTGTTAACGTCCAACTTCAGTCAAACGAACTCACAAGACTCATATATAAACTTTAGCAAATTGCCTTGGAAAAATCTTATAGAAACAGGGGAGTGGGGACACACGAGGGACGAAGAGGAATATAAATTGGGTGCAAGGTTGTCAACCCGCGGGTTGACCCACTTTGACCCTGACCCGGTGAGAAAAACGGGCCACACGCACCCGCCGGGTCGACCGCTACAAGGTACCGGGTTGGAGGTCAAATTCTATCATTTTTTTCTTTGATTATCGAAATGCGCCTATTTTCCGATTTTTCTTTTCGCCTAACTCAATCTTTGGAATCCTAAGTTGAACATTTGAATATTAATGTATATAAGTGTGTGTGAATTTTCACTATATGTTGGATCTAAGTACGACATGTTATTTTGGTGAAATATTATATGTTATGATTCATATGTTAGATGATATTTGATATAATTTATCAGGATAAGTACAATATAATGACTACTTCCATATTTCCGGGCTAAAACGGGTGACCCATTAACCCTTGACCCATTAGCTCGACCGGGTCCGGGTCAACTCGCGGGTTGATAACCTTGATTGGGTGGGAAAAAGCAAAGAAAAGAAAAAGGTGGTCAGCGTTCTTCGTTTTGCCGAGAGCCTGACCCGGGGACCTGGAAACTCTCGTCCTGAATCTGGTGGTCACCGCTGTCATCGAATAGAACCTCGCCTTCTCAAATCTCGAGAGCCCTCAGCCGATTCCTCTCCTGCGGTGGGGGAAGAGTGAAGCGATTTCCCCAATTGATATGCGAGGCTCCGAGATTCCTTCAATTGCAAAAGAACGATTTTGTTTACGAAGTGGTGAAATCAGTCCGGGTCACCGTTGCATCTTCCGGAATTGCAGCATTGCTAATGATCGGAGGGAGAACAACTCATTCCCGTTTTTATATACCTATTGACTGTGAGTCTACCTCTACGTGTCACATTGATCAAGGTAGTGAATTAGCTGAACTTCTTCTGCAGACTTCTTTGATTATTTGGGATGAAGCTTGCATGTCCCATAAACATAATATTGAGGCTGTGGATAGGACTCTTCGGGATATATTGCACATCAAGCATCGCCACAGTAAAGTTAGAACCTTTGGAGGTTTAACTGTTGTATTTGGTGGAGACTTTTGCCAAACATTGCCCGTTGTTCCGAAAGGAACAAGAAATCAGATTCTAAATGCTTCCATTAAGAAATCTTACATCTGGGAGCACATAACGGTGTTGAAATTGACGCAAAACATGAGATTGCGTTGCTCTATGGGAGCGTCTGCATCGGAATCTGAGGAGATTTCTGCCTTTAGCTCTTGGATTCTAAAGATCGGAGATGGCATCGGTTCGAATGTATTTGGTGAATCAACAATTAAAATTCCAACAGATCTGTGCATTCAGCCTAGAGATACTCCTATTTCTGATGTTGTCAACTCAACATATCCTGACCTATCAACATGTTATGCTGATTACAAGTACTTGGTTGAACGAGCCATATTGGCCCCGCATCATGAAGCAGTATCAACAATCAATTCTCATGTTCTGCTGCAGTTTCCTGGTGAGTCTAGATGTTACCTGAGCAGCGACTCCATTGAAGTTGATCCCGGACAGCCAAATATTATGGAGAGTGATTATTCGACAGAGTTTTTGAACTCTTTAAGAGTAGGCAATTTCCCTGATCATGATCTGAAGCTGAAGATCGGATGTCCGGTTATTCTCCTCAGGAATTTGGATGAAAGTATTGGTTTGGTTAATGGAACTAGGTTGGTTATCACAAAATTGGGCACATGGTTTATTGAGGTTGAAATTTTGACTGGCACCAACATTGGTGAGCGTGTATTCTTACCTAGGCTGAAGTTATCGGAACGGTTCAAGAGCCTCCACTATACTTTGATGCGTCGTCAGTATCCTATTGCTCTATCATTTGCCATGACAATCAACAAAAGCCAAGGTCAAACTCTAAACCATGTAGGCCTGTACTTGCATAAGCAGGTATTTTGTCATGGACAGTTGTATGTAGCATTGTCACGTGTTACGCGAAAGGCAGGAATTCGAATCTACAGTTGCAACACTGATGGAGAGCATGTATTGACTATGCAAAATGTTGTCTACAGAGAGATTTTAGAATGATGAAAGTAATTACTTTTGGGAACAATTTTTGTACCCCTGATGTACTGTTTAAGTTCTCATATTATGGAGATTGTGACGCTAAGATTATATTTCATTTCCTCCGTTCTTTGGTTTATTATACAGGCGGTTCATAATATATCCACAACGAACATTGTAGTTTTTGTCTCCTCGCGTCGTCGGTAATGTGAAAAATATAACTCTTGGATATGTAGTACATTATCTGTAGTCCATTCTTATGAAAATGAATGAAGTAGGTGATGGGAATAATGTGTGACTTCATGTATCTGGAGATTATGTATACAAAGAAGCTTGCAAGACTATCGCCTGTTCACGCCTGAATTTACAACTACATGCTAACTATCTATGCACTCCGTGCACGACTTTGAGTTTCTATGTGGCTATAAACATGACCGAAGTTTTTTTGTTACACAATGCATGTTTACCTTCTAATTCATACTTGCCTCTTTGCCTACCATATCTACTGCAACTCTGTTGCATGTGAAATATGAACTGGCAAATTGGCCGATGGTCGGAAGTCCATCAAGTGGTCCACGAACATGGCTCATTGGCAGGACAAATTCAGGGGGTTCCTAATATCATGTGTCTCTACCAGTGCCCTTCTTGGCATCCTCAGAAGCTGCCTACTCTGCTTCAATCTAAGCCATGATAGCATCGATTTCAGCCTCTTCAATTTGTTATATGCCCTACTCTTTTGTCATTGTTGCGACTTCAATATTGTTTCCACCACTCTCCACAACCTACACAAAGAAATGAAAACTTCAGAATCTCAGAGGATCATTCACAACACATGTACTAGCTGATTATTTTACAAAAAGATGATGAATCAACTTCAGTTGGTTTCGACCCGTAGTCGTTCAGCAAGAAGCCTGAGACAATTTAGTTTACGATTGATGTCAAAAGCCACACATGACCAGCATCCTATGGGGATAAGAAATGTTGTTAACCAAGGCTTTTCTGGCTATCTTCAAACATAAATCATGTTGAACCGTCTCATACACTAAATTTTTTTTGATCTTATTCGTTATACAAACTATAAAACAAACTGTTTCATATGCCATCCAGACATTGATATTTGTTGGCACAACAAACCATAATAAAACTCAATCGTTTTGCCTAAAATTATCTTAACATCTAAATCCGTTCAAATACGACATAATATGAGTACGTACCTTCCGTAAGGCACGGATTGCCAGCTTGATGGTTTTTTCACCAGAAGTTTCTTTATGATTCTTCTCCAGAAACTCTCTGATGGAATTGGAGTTACTCCCAGTTGCATTTCCTTCAAGAAAACTCAATTCATAACTAATTTCAGATAAGAGGGCAGAAGAAATTTGATTAAAGAGATAAATAAGGGATTTATCAGGTTATGTTTTTGGTATAGTGGAGTTGCCACCTGGCAGCCAACTGGTATTTCCTGACACCAGAATGGTACTTCCTGGTACTTCCCATTTCTGTAGCTTCTTTCTCTGCATGCAAAATTATTTTGTATGCAAAAAATAGGCATCAAATATATATCTACAAGTTTCTCTAACATTCCTGGGGGGAATAATATCCAAGTACCCATTAAATTCATAAATGAATCATTAGAAACATACTCTTCCACAATAGAGGCAGGATTATAACAAGATACATACATTGCTACAAGCTCCAATCAAAGAGCTATAAGGCAAACTCCAAGTTTTGATCCTTGCTTTCGTGCCTCCTACAGGATTTCAAATGCTAGATCGACTTTTCCAGCATGCCCAGCGACATCAATCAATGCACTTAGAAACATCTGGAAGGAAAAAAGTATAGAACCATAAGAAAAAAACCCTATCGGTGCAAACAAATGAATCCAATTTCACTAGAAATCACGTATAAAAGCTTGCATGTGGAAATCTACATAGCTTTTTCATCTATCAAACGTGTAGCTTTAAACTAGCTCCAGAAAGGCATCATTGAATTATCACCCTTATCTATACTAAACCATTATTACTAACATCGCCCTGATTCTTCAGGCTCAACCGATCACCAATATTGTCAACTTATGTAGTACCTCATCAGGGAGGACGCCTTTTCTTAACATGTCTTCACACACACGATGAGCAAAGTCCCAATCGCCAGTCTCCCTACAGCAGTTAATGGCGATTGTATAAACTTCTGGAGTGCCCTTGATTTTATACTTATCAAGCATGTTGTAAATTTCCTTTGCCCTGTCAACCTGACCAGCATTTGCACATGCCTTTATCAATGCACCAACAGTAACATGATCAGGATCAATAGGCCGTATCTCAGCCTTCATTTCTGATAATACATCAAAGGCACGGTCCACGACTCCTGATTGACCACATGCAGTGATAAGTGCATTGAAGACAACTCGATCTGGCTTCAAATTCTACTGCATAAAACATCTTATCAGTGTGAAGATACATTTGAGACAGTAACAAGGAGATCCACAACCACAGCCTCAGTCAAGGAAGGTACAGGAAAAAAAAGAAAACCACATAAACATATCAGTCCATTCATTCTATGATTATGGATTAATCCATGTGCATTTTATTGGGCCTATGTGGGTTAATAAGTCCAGTCCCCCATGCACAATAAGTTTTCTGCGTTTACAAATTTTTTGAATTACTTGAGATATTTAATTAGTTATTTTCAGATATTTAATTTATATATTATGCATAAATAAAACTTTTCCTATTTTGAAGCTAAATCGTGGTACACGATCTTGCTGGGTTTAATCCTATTATCTCCACTCTTCCTGTCAGTTCCAAACGTATCCTACATCTTTCATGAACAATATTTAAAGCCATGCACAATGAAGAGAAAATCTCACGCCATTTTGAGAAAACTCCTCTACTTCTTTTGGTTTCAAAGCATCCATGGATTTCCTGAGATTATACCAGCTAAATCTGCATCAAGATGACGCCACTGTTCGCATGAGGATCCTGCGATTGTGGAAACCAATGAACCCAGATGGTATTGGGATTCACCAACTCCACATGTTATTTCTAGACAACAAGGTATTATTCTGTTCATTAGTTTGCAGTGATGAAGTTTACTGTTTTACAGTCGACATGACACTATAAAACGATAAACTAAAATTCACTTTATTTTGTAGGGGACGGAGATGCAGGGATTAGTTGGTACAGTTCACGTTCTAGTGTTTCTGCCCATTCTTCGGTAGGGAAGGATCTACATACTGCGCAAGTTTGTGGTTCGTGGGTATCATGGTTGCTATAGGGCTTCACCTCCTACTCTCAGAATCTGCTTCCAAGAGGATACAGTGGTTCAAGAAGCCGCAAATGCTCCCGACATACCAATCTACAGCTTCCATTTTTTGGCAGCTGCGGATCTTCCTCAAGCCGTCCACAACCATGCTTATCTGTCTGGTAATTTGATTGAGCCCTAGAATCTTAATTTATAGTTGTTTACCTATTCAATCCCTTTACATTTGTATTTGGGCAGACATAGTTGGACAGGTTGTAGCTGCTGGACCGGGAGAAGCTCTATTCCAAGATGTTGATCTTTTAAGGAGAAAGGCTGCTCACCTCCGATTCATTAAGTGAGTGGTCAAAAGCTTTGTGTTTGAAGATGATTTGCATGTCTTATGGATTTTAGTTGTGTCTTATTCATTAATCTGTTTTTTTCCTCAAATTAGTGGTGCTATTGAGGAAATCGTCTTATGGGATGATTTAATAGACGAATTCCAAGCTGTTATTCCTCATCAGCCTCCTCCGGGAACCGTAGTTGTGTTCACCTTGGTGGTAGTTCATACTTTCAATGGTAGTAAGCAATTCTTTTAATTTTCTTTGAACTTTCCCTAATATTTTTAAAGTTAGTCTTATTGACACCATGTGTGTATGAGTTGATGCCAGGTTAAGAGTTTTGCGTTGGAACAAATGCAACAAAGTTATACTGGAACTTGCATTATCCTCACCTCCACCCTCTGTTGGATAAGTAAGTTTACATTATTCTAGAAAAACACTTAGCGAATGAGTAAATTGGAACTTCCACTAATTATGGTTCTATCTATTTCCTGTTCTATTGTATAACAGTATAGAAAATGTCCCATTGGCCATTGACTATACCTTGGAGGAAGCCCTAGGGATGAGTACCATCTGCTCCATTCCAGAACTGAACATCTATAAGACTGACATCAATAACCAGGTAATTATCTATTTGTTCAGTTCGTGTGACCAAAAAGAGTGGATGTTTGATCACTCTGAAGTTATTGAAAAGTGTCTTTGGTGTCAAATGCAGGGTACTTCATATATTGTTGATGCCCAAGTGAAGGATGTCAATGTCTCCTGGTCTGCCGTGAAGCTGAAGTTTGAGGTGCGGATGAAAGTTGGTAATGGAGGTGATGAAGCTGTTGTTCTGTTTGTGACAAGCAAGTTCCGCTGGATTGCAAGTCGTATTATCGAGGCAACACACAAAGAATGGACCAACAATTTCAGGATTCTCTTAGCTTGGCTGAGGGGCAAATCATTTAAGCTTATGATCCAACTGGTGGATTTTAACTTTGCTACAGTCGAATGTGATTTGGTCCTTCGCAAGCTTTTCTGGTAGATTATGTTATCGGAAATGCTTAGTGGTTGATGTTTCTGTGAGTTTCTTCAAATTAGTGGGTTTTATGATAGGTGGACATTGGTAGTAGCAAGTCATTCTCATTTTTCTTTAACTATGACCAGCAAGGGTTTTGTGAATAGCTGGTCATTTTATTTTCTGTTGGTTTCCTGTTTTCTATGGTTAAATCATGTCTAAGTACGTTTGGTCCCTTCATGTTAATCATTTGAATTTTATTAAGTAAGCATTTTATCTATTTATATTCAAGAACATATTATTTTCTTAGTTCACCAAACCACAATACGTAATGAAACCAAGAGAATCTGATACTTACACAACATGTTGATCCATTGGAGGTGGGTCATTGAAGCCGCTGGGAGATAACGAGGCCAGAGCTTTTACAAACATGTAGGAGAGAACCCAATCCA